GTATATTAGATTATAAAATGTATGGTTACCTTAAAAATAATAATTTATATATTAGCCAACAAACCAGTGTTATAATGATAGAGACGGGTGCGGCGAATACAAACCAACTGGCATAGTCCACCGGATCACGATTGTCATAGATCCTATCCATCAAATATAATAATATAATTAACAACTAGTATTTAACGACACAATTGTAGTGTTTGATAATAAGGGTTTAAATTATATACTTTTACTTTAATAATAGGTATGCTTTTGTGAACAAATTATAGATTTGATCTTTTAAATTAAATATTAATTTGTCCAAGTTAATTTGATATATAATTTAATTTAGCATTTAATATAATACTAAACATAATATCTTACTAATTCGTTTATACTGTAGATATACAGTACAGTATAAACATGTATTAGTAATTTAATAATTGTATAATTTTATGCTAAAAATAGAATTATTTAATTCATGTCAATATCTGCTATAAACTAACAAAATATTTTTAAAGTAAAATGACTTTCTTTTTTTTTGTGTTTCACTGTTTGAATATAAAGTCGTTAACACATTAATGAATTATAACCACTCTTTGTTATCAATTGGTTAAATGCATTATAAACATTAAATGCAACTGTCCTTCAAATGTAAACAAAGTATCTTTTAATAGCAGCAAAACGTGAGAGAATTAATTAACAATTTATCAATTAGTACTAAACTAATAATTAACGATTTCATTGATTAATAGATTTTTTAAAATTTCATGATCAAGTATTTTTATATACATTTTTCCTTCACTGATATGTTATCGCAAGTGATTTTCGGGAAATTTTTAAGATCTTTTTGAACACATTTGTAATGATAAGTGATTTAACGATAAACGAGTCAAAGAATTTGTCTCAAACCGTGATTATTATTATTATATAAACACATGTACTGTAAAGGCCTTACTCTTCAATAATGAATTTCATGACCAGATTTGGTCCGTTTGAGGTGAGAGTACTGGCGCTGCCCATTGTGGCCGAGTATGCGATACTTAAGTACAACAATTTGCTCAATTTATTCTTGTTCACAGAATCGACCTCTTTATCAAAAGTAATAGCCGTCGATAACTTGGATTTACTGCACTCCGTATCGCAACTGTTCAACAGATTCTTGTGATCGTTGTCCACGTTTTGGTTGCCGTCGGGGAACAGATGGCTGAGTATTTCGTCGGCGATGGGCAACATCATGGCTACGGTGGCTGTGCTCACGATCCACATCGACAACATCATTGTCGTCAACATAAAGCCCAATAAAAGCCATTCAAATTGAGTGCCGATTTGTAATAATACTCGTAATGCGATTCTCTGGTGAAGATTACTCTTCTCGACGGCCAGTGCCAGAGCCAGACATCCAAGGAATAGCATATTACTACCTATTGACACATTTTTATAATTAATTATTTAATATAATTGAGATATAAAAGTAAAGTTAATTATATTTTATATAATCAGTCATTAATTTGTTTATTTATTTGTAGAAAGTAAATTGAAATGAATAAAATTATCAAAATATTGTTTATTTGATAGAAAAGTTTCACTAAAAATTTCCATGTTAACAAAAATATTTATAACATTTGTTATAAATCTATCATTTAATTGTATCAATAGATAAAATACTGTAGAAGTCTTTAATATATTATTTTTTCATAAGTTCATTGAATTTCTAACAAAATTAATATTTACATTCTTTGTCTAATATTGTTTTGCATTTGACTGTATTTTGCGATTATAACATTATTTAACAAA